TTCCCCGTCAACACCTGCTGCTTCACCTCGCCCTTCGTCGTGGAGACGGTTTCTCTCCCTAAACCTCGTGGTCCAGCCTCTGCCAGCCTCAGCCTTTTCTCCTGCGGCCTCCTCGCCTCTCGGCCTTCACAGGGCTGAGGACAGGCAGGGCGTTGCTCTGGACCAGGCTTTGGCTTGAGGGAGTGGGGGGCTGACTTCTACCCCTACCCGAGACGTCCTCCGTATCAGCAACGAGGCCGATTTGCTCTCTCACTCGTGTGCTCACTGGAGCAGCACTGCTACTTTCCTTCCAGAACTTTCCCTTTGCACTCACAGCTTGGCCAACTCACAAGAGGCCAAGCGTTTGGCCCAGCTCGGCTCTCAGCTGCCTTCCTCACTGAGCTCGGTCACGTCCAGCTTCTGCTTTAAAGTGAGAGACATGGGGCTCTTTCTCTCATGTGAACACGTAGAGGCCACTGCAGGGTTGTTAGGAGGCCTAACGTCCCTGCTGTTGTGTCTCAGGGAACGGGGAGGCCTGAGAAGAGGGGGAGACGGGTGGGTGGAACGGTCAGCGCACACATGTTTATTAAGTTGTCGTCTTACGTGGTTTGGCTGGGAAGCCCTAAAGCAATGACAATAGTAACATCAGAGATCACTGACCACAGTCCACCAAGACAAATACATGATGATGAAAAAGGCTGAAATACTGGGAGAATTACCAAAATGGATATTCAATTAATCCAGAAGCATCTATGGGTAAGACCCGCCTTTCCCAACCGAATCGCAGGGGCGCCTTCTCCATAAATCACATGACTTCAATTTTTAATAAGTTCCAGTTCCAAGCAGAACTTAAGAAGTTTTACTTGTTTGCTATCAGGAGATTATACATATTTTATTATATCTTCAGGAATCTGTTCAAAATATTTTTTCCACGGCATCTGAACTTGTAATGAATGTCAGGCAGTTTACTACACAATACAAGAGACTGTATCAACTCTTCAATCTTTACCTAACGAGCAAATCAATCCCATTCAGAACACAGAGTACAGCAGGCCACGCTAATACGAGTTGCTGTGTGTCTTTAAGGGTGCTTTTGTGCAGAAAATACTCTTCAAAGGCTTACTTTCATTTTTTAAATATTCAACTTATTAAAGTTAAAAATGCAAAAATTTGGTCATTCTTTAAAGCTTTTAAATTCGGCTTACAAATATTTTTCTATATTCAAGAGTAGCAGATTTTAGGAATCACTTTTAAGAGGCTTTTGAATAATGTTTGCTCCCATTTACAAACCTGGGAAATCGAAGGCCCCCAAAACTTTTTACCTATATTTATAAATTTAATAGGTTTTACTTCCTTCTTAGTTCTTCAATTATCTTACTTAATGAAGCATAATAGCTCACATACACTTTTATAAACCTAATAAATTATACTTATAAGGTAAGTATATATTTCTCCTAAATCTTCCCCAACATAAATTTTTTATTAAAAAATTGCCAATCTAAATTATTCCGTAATACATTGTAGATTGTAATTGCATGTTTATCATCTTCATTAGCCATATTCTCTTAAATCACAGGTACATAACAATAACAAACAAACATGCATCAATGCACATGTCATTAACAGGACAACACTACTGCTAAGGCTTGACTCTCTTAGACACCTTCATTCTTAATCCTAAATCTCCCTGGAGCAGGGAGATGCTGCCCACCGCAGGGGACAGTCATGCCCCACGCTAACCGAAGCCGCCCTGACCTGGCGTCTCACAGGCACGAAGTCTGCACCGCAGACACGCTTCCTGCACCGCACCGCCCCACACACCAGCCCGCACCGCATGCACACGCTTCCCGCACCGCACCGCCCCACACACCAGCCCGCACCGCATGCACACGCTTCCCGCACCGCCAGCGCCGGGCGCTGCCTTCCTGACACCTTGGGGCTCCCCACACATGCTACTGCAGCGAGGGCAGTGACTGGGCTCCTGTCAGCAACGTGGACGGGGCGCAGGTGAGATCTCAGCAGGCGACCGGCCTCCTACTCAGCGCCCCATCCTCCAGAAGCAGGACTCTGAAAGAGCAGAAGGCTCCAGAATGCCAAGGAAATGAGTATAATGTCAACCCACCAATCATATTAGGCAAATAACCTATTCCACCATCTAAAGAATGACCTAAAAGTTTCTTCCTTAAAATTCCTTACTTTCCGATGATTCCTAAATAACTACCTCGAATCTCAGTCTCTCTTAAACTCAGGTTGTCATTTCTGATTCCGATTCAACGGCTTGGTCCAGATAGTTCATTATCTATCCCAATTTTTCTCTCCTTCTCTGTAACTCATTCATCACCGAATCCAGTCCGTCCTACCTCAGCGACGGCTCACACTCACCTTACAAGACTGAACACCTGAGAGGGCGGGGCCGTGTCTCTGCCCCACCACACCTGGCACCGTGCTGGCACCGTACTGGCACTGTACTGGCACACAACAGGTGCCAGCATCCCACCTCAAGCTTCCCAGGATGTCTGGGTTATTTTTTCTCACTGGTTTCTTGAGGCCGAGGTGTCTGTGTGGGGCGGGGGAAGGGGGGTGGGAGGGTACCTTTATAATTTCCACAGGGCCAGAGAGAACACCTGGCATACAATAAGTGGTCATAAAATACACGCTGGATAGACCAGTGACTTCCTAAGACTTCAAAACAATTTTACCAAACAGTCTCAGCACAATGCACACTTTTCGAAGGAGAAAGATGAGCACAGAGAAGCGAACTTGACTTAGAGGGCTGCGCAGTCACTGCTGGAGCTGACAGAAACACGTGGACCCCCCTCCTAATCCCAGGAGAGCAACTGGGCCGGAGCCCGGCTGAAGTACCTATAAAGACAAGATCGGAGCCACTGTCCACCGGACTGGACCTTGGCCTTGACTGATCTTTTCCCACTGCGAACTGGGACTTAAAATGCTAGCAGTTACTTAATCTGTGTGGGCACCCAAAGAAACATAAGGCAATAACTTTAATACCAACCCAGTAAGAACTTCCCCTTGGCTAGAATTCTACAGAATAGCACAAATTTGAGACACACTACGCCATTTTCCCTGCTCTCAGGTGAATTAACGCTAGAGTTCCAGTTTACCTACACGAACAAGCCAAATGATTAACTTCAGGCTCGAGTATCCTTTTCTTAAAGCCATCTGTCCCAAAAGATATAACTTAAAAAGATCTAACATTTACTTTTTAAGTTAAATAAAAACTAGTTTATTGAATATGCGCTGTGTCCAATACTGCTATGAGCAACAGAGAAAATCTGAGCTTCGCGCCTTCGGGTCCCACTGGGGGGACCACTTTTAAAACGGTCTCATTCAAGAGGATGCGCTTAATAAACTTAAACATGCAAAATATTACAAACTAATTACTACAAGAAACCTTTTAACTTAGGACACTAAAAATGGACTGGAGGCTTCATCCCTTTGGAGTTTAATTCTAAAACTGCCATCACAACCTACTTTTGTAGCTCTTTCTTCATGTTTGAGGCAATGCATCTAATTCATTTGAAAAGACTGTTTTGATCTGTCCAAGCGCCTGCTGGTGACTTAGAACAGGATCAGGATTAAACACAGCAGACACATGTCATATAAATTGCAATTTCAAAACACATGGCACGCCACCGTGGGAGCCCACAGTATGCAGGCTGCCTCAGTCCGCGGAGACAGGGAGACGGAGAAGTTTTGTGTTAAAAGTCCATGAAGTGACAAGGACGGACCCACAAGCAGAGTGAGCAAAGTTGTAGGTCAAGGCAAACACATCAGATGCATCCTGGAGACATCTGACACAAAACAAAGAGAAGTAAGTTCTATTTTCCTATGGACTTCCGCTGCAATTTCAGTGTGGTATTCCCAGAGAGAAATTTTTAAAATTACATTTAAAATATCAATAGTTATTTCATTAGGCACTATATTGTTGCAGACCTTAGAAAAGAATCAACATCCAGTGTTTTTATGATGGGAATCATAAAATTATCTGTAACTCAGTGGAAAAAACCCTGAAGGGATAAATTAACCACTTTTCACAGTTCTTTAAGCGCTTTTAGGAAACTCTAAGAGATCAACGAGTTAAACACAGGATCACAGCCACCGAGCAAAGCGACATTTATTTTCTCTGATGCAACGCTCTGGCCACAGTACTATTTCACAATCAAGGAGACCGAAAGCCAGGGAGACCTAAGCTCAGGCCCTGAGCCAGCCCTAAGTCCCAGGTCAGGGCTGCTCAGGCCTCGCTGTCACCTGTGGAACTAACGGAGTTATTCATTCGATGCTGGCGGAATGCCCACTGTGCGCCAAACCCTGTGTTAGCAATACAAGTTTGTTATTTTTGTTTTGAGTAAATAAAAACCATGGCCCTTGTCCCTTGCGAAGCCCCTACGTTGAGCTGAGCCTGGAAGAATGAATATGAGTCGCTTACACGGGGACTGTGGGCGTTCCCTGAAGAAAGAATAGACCGTGAAAAGACAAGACAGGAAAGAACAGAAGAAAGGGGTTTAACGTAGCCGATGAGGCCACACGACGGGAGTGTGACCTTTAACCTTTAAGGACAGTAAGGCCCCCGGACGCTAAGACTCTGGAACCCGACTGTGGCCAAGCAGAAGAATCCAGTCTGTCCACCCTCATCAAAAGCTGTCAGAGCTTTTCAAAGAAGAGTTTTAAAGCAAAACAAGCCACTCAAGTTTCGATGCCAACCTCAAGAAATGTAAGAGTTCACTCGAGTGACGAATTTTAGGACCAGCAGCTTTCTACTACTATGATTGCGGCAGTAAAACGTTCTAGAATAAAGCCAGACATGTGATGAGTGACTGACTTCTGTTCTTTATCAAATACAAACTCTGTAAATCTGCAGGTGTGAAAATTATAAAAGATATTAAATTTACAGGCCCCCAAAATAGACCTTTTCATCCTTTGTTCAAATCAAGCTTCGCTCTCCTCACTCTGAGTACCGACTGGCTGCGGAAGCACCTCAGAGGAGGTGGGGTCCCCTTTACCTGTGTTCCGCGGGCACGGGAGGCGGCCAGACCGCAGGGTCCCGGAACGGCTCATCCTGGCAGGACACGGGGAAGTCCGGGGGCTTGTCGATCTTAAAGCTCTCCAAAGTGCTGACGATGCTTTTAACTTGTTCATATTCTTCCAATAATTCCTGCCGAACCTTAAAAAATATACAACCTTTATGCTAGAAACTGTTTCAAGTTTATATAAATCTATATAAATTATAAATAAATTGCTATAGCATGTAAGTTTTCGTATTGCCGTGCAGAGTATGCAAAATGAATCAACACATATTCAAAAGACAAAGACCTAGTTAAGTAATATAGCTACGGGAGTAGGAATTTGGTTTGAAAAAAAGATATAATCACACACTTTCACAGGGCCAGCAGCTACGTATCTTTTGTAACGGAACTTCATTTCCACCAAAAACTGTGATGACCACGAACACAATTTAAAACATGCGACCAAGTCAGTAACAAGTCAACCATTCCCCAAATCTACGTTATGCTTAAACCTTTTAATATATTTGTAAGTAGCTTCTGAAACTCTGAGCAACAGCTCCCACCCTGTCACTAGTCACGGGGCGCCAGCCGGTAAGCGCACCTGCAGACTGCGTGGGTCCACGCCATGGATCGCCCACTCCCAGCTCTGATGGGAATCCTCTCTCCCCTACAGTCTGAATTCCTTTGCTCTTGTTTAAATTCTCCCAAGTCCCGTGCAAAGTTTAATTTGAGCTCAAAGGCAAGACTCTTCCTACGGTTAAAAAACCTCCCTGCATAACTACTATGTGGGCACTCTCGTGTTTTCAAAATGTGAGCCCAACCTAATTTTCAAAGGCAAAGAGATGATAGATTGAAAATTAAAGGTATAAGTCTATTTGAACAATTCTGATCTTTAACCAGGAAGCCCACTTTACTGTAGAGCGGAGCACTATGAAACTGTCCCTTGACTCCATCTTAAATAACCCACAGAAAGGCACACCTAGAGGAGCTGTGGGACCAAAGGTGACCCAGGCAGAACCCGACCGCTCAGACACTCGGTCACACACCACGTCTGGAGAAATGAGGATGCAGATCCCAATGGAAAGGAACACGGCGGAAATACCTGACTGTTTAGTACAATTAAGAACATGCCACAAATATTTCCATGCCAGATTTATAAACCACTCTCATCCGTGGGTGGTAAGCAGGATAGAAGAAAACAACTAAACAGTTCAACTTGAGTTAGAGCAAGTATATCGTCCTCACTCAACATAATCTGGTAATGCTCAAGTCGGAAAATACGCCGAATTTACCCTGAAAGTTAGAAAAACATCAATTTCCGACTGGTGGAAAAATTAGAAGGAACACTTAAAAGGCATTAGTACATAAAATGGAAACTTCAAAGAAATGTTTGACTTTGTACTTTTAATTTTAAAAGGACTTTAAGTTTTAAGAATAAGTGAAGAAATTATAATTCAAGTTTTTATTAACTGTGCTATTATACAATCAAGTTGTACAGTCAAGAAACAGCAAATATATTAGCTTTATTAGATTACTGAATCCTTTGTATTTGTAAGGAGTCTTACAAAAGAAGAGGAAACTTTTTCAAAAAACACTTTTGTTCAGCTACAGCTGACATTCGGCATTATACTAGTTTTATGTGCAGCATGGTGGTTAGACATGTATGTAACGTACGCTTAGCCTAGTGCCCACCTGGCACCACGCAGAGCTACCGCCATATTATATTCCCCATATAATATTGTGACTACATTCCCTTCACAGCCCCGAAGAGGAAACTCTCTTAAACAAAAAGCTTTATGAAATGAGTCAAAACTACATGTAGAAATGCAAAGGGAAAGGGGAATAGCAATACCTTATTTCAAAAATTTGTACTCGCACACAACTAGGCAACTGATGAAAATAAGTTAAAAGCAGGTTCAGTGGGAATTAAATATCCTTGAAATATGTCTCATGAAATGTTATCAAAAATATATAAAATATAACAGCACTGCTGGGTTTTACATCCAGATATTAACAAATACCATTTTGGCATTAAAAAATATATGTATATGTTATTTTTCATTTTTTTAAAAAAGATTTTGATTTTATTTAAAATAAAATGCATTTATACAGTCTTTGAATCATGGATTATTGGACAACACTGGTAACCCACGCCCCTGGCACGCGTTCGGGCTGTGAGCTAGGAATTTTCGACTAGCACCAATGCAGACTGGAACAGCGCCAGAGACTAGAACACGGCCAGCCTGGGCATTAGACTCAAGGACACTGTGGCAAATCACGACCATAATGAAGTCATTCTTAATTTAGCAGATATTAAAACTGCTA